CTGCTCCAGAAGGCGTTGCTGCTCCAGTTGCCGTTGCTGCTTAAAAAGTTAGATCAGATGTTAAAATACACATGCATACAGATGCGCATATATACGTAAAGCAAAGCATGAAAAACACCAAAGGCATCAGGGCTATCGATGTGGAGCTCGTTATGTTCCTAACGGCGCCAAGCTTTCAGCGTTTAGACAAGTTACTAGAAAAGTGGGAAATTTTTGGCGCAGCTGAAGTGTTCAAAAGAAGAACGATCTAACTTCTAACTATCTGGAAAACACCAATTGCACACACAGTTAAGTTTTTCAAGGATGTATCCCGAATTGGATTTTCAAGAAGCAACCTGAGCCTGCTGTTGAGCAGCTTGTTGTAGGGCTCTCTGGTACTGTTGGTGATGCTGCTGCTGCAGAACAATCTGCTGCTGTGCAAAAGCCTGCAAAAAATGAATCCAACTGCTGACCGGTATGTTCATTTGGGACTATGCAGAGCAGATTCTGCGATCGAATGATTGATCTGAACGCCTAAATGACGCGCGATAAGCGGGCAAGTAGATCGGAGATGTTGCCAGACAGTTCGTCGATGGGGCAAACAAAAAAAAAATATATACTTTCCTAGGCGACATATAACTTAGTTGTGACATAACTTGTTCTTATAATTGAAAAAGAAGCTATTATCTTAACAGGCACCAAAATACTGTAAAGACTGCAGGCAGAAGGAAGCACTGCATTTCGCAAAAAAATAACAGAGTAAATACGGAGATTCGTGTTGCTAAGCACCGTATAAATCCTAAGTTCAGGTTTGGTTGGGGAAAAGTGAGGAAGGGAGGAAGGATTTACCGCGAAGCTCGATCAAAGAGCAGTACAGAGCGACTGCTTCTGATAAAATTAATTTCAAATGCGCGACATGAAAATAATGCAAAAATAAAAGTTTATTATTACACCCATGACAGCGATAAGGGCTCTAACGCTTCGTAGTAGCCAGAATAGGGCTGAGGCTATCGCTGGCCAACATATTACACTTACAGAAATCTCTGTTTAGTTAATCCATCCCATATTTTTCTGTACCGTCCAAGAGATAGAAAACTTTTGGAAGCAAATAGTAATTTTGTCGTTGAAGTGGAAACATAGCCTATTTCACAGCAGGTGCAACCACATTTGACAAGAAACAAGGAGATGGGCACAGTGCCAAAAAAAATCACCAGTCTCTTAATACTTCAGTCAATTTCTATATCATCACCATTGCGAAAAGAGTGGGAAGCCGCGCTTTCTGGGTAAATGAAAGAAAATACTACTAAAGACTCGATTCATTTCTTCCATTATTCTCAAGATTTGATCTCAAAACATCGCCACTGCCCTCCCCGTACTTACCGCCAATGACATGGAAGTGTTACTGAGTGCTGTTGATGCTGAAATGGCCCCTTACTATAAATTATTTGCATGTTGCGCAATCGGTGCAACTATATATATAAGCAAAACAAACCGGCGAATCATGTAAGCCTAGCGGATTGGGCAAAATTTGTTGTTGCTGTTGTTGTTGCATAACTTGCAATAACTGTTGCTGCTGCTGGAATGCCTGGATGTCCATCTGATGTGGCTGAAGCATCTGCAAATAAAATCTAATATCTGTCGGCATAAAGACCAACTACCAAATCGAACGAAAACTTGAAAACTCTCTCATCCAAGCGTTTTAAAGTTGCTAAGTGACAGCACTTTGCCAAAAACAGTCCATTTACTAACACGGCTGTCAGTGGCCTCTTTTCCAGAAGTAACCTAAGCCTGGAAAAAATGATTCCCAGCAAGCCAAGCACGCTGGTAATGAAATTACTGTTTGAACAAATCAAAGAATGGGTTTTAAGAAAGAATGTTTTTTCTTGTCAAGCAGATTACAGCATCCAGGATCACCTTGGAAGCGCAAATGGCACAGGTGCGATAGAAAAAATACAGAAGCGTACAAAACATACAGAAATAGTATTACATGCAACTTTAGCCTAAAAGTTTGGTTGCACCTCATTAGGCAAAACAGCCCGATGCCATTA